AATAAAAACTATTTGTTAGTAACTATTTAGGCTTTATTTCATGGACAGTGTCACCTTCCTCCACCATCAGGATGTTCTTAAATGCCTCGACGTAGATGATGTGCGCATGCCAAATTTAATTTCTTCTTGAGTGATGATCACTTAACTGAGCAACTGTACAAATAAATCTAAGTAGTGTATTAATTTGTACTAAAAGTGGACCTGACGCAAGACGGTATTGAATGCTTCATTTGCATCAATTCAATTTAATTTGCGTAGAGTGAACGCTCTTAATCCGTGCAACTGTACAAACTATAAATAGTGCTTTTCAGTTGTATTTAGTAAATCGTGCATGCGCTACACAAATTAAATTGAATTGATACAAATAGAGTTTTCCGATTTAGCGGCTTTTTGATCAATTTGGCAATATATAATTTCAATTCTGTTATCGAAGTTAAGAAAGTGTCGATTAACACGCTTAACACCTTTCACACGTGTTTTTCGCGTGGACAGTAACAAACTGCGTCTTTTTTCTAGGTAATTATTTCACTGGTAAACATTCACCACACTTGCAAAAAAACATATATCAGGCGCGTATATATGGTCAAGAAACAAATCCCCTACATGAGATATTATATAATAAATTCAGCTCGTAATCATGTAGTTTTTTATAGGCAACAAATATTGTCAAARTCTCCACTCGATATTGTTAATATTGAATTCGATTTATTTTCTGATCAAAACAATGTCCGTCTTACTTTTGACATATGTTTTCTTTTTAAAACAAAAAAAACCCTGTTTAATCCAATTAACGTGAAAGCCACTATCGSTCCGTCACAAACATATCAAGTTAATTTTTTGAACAGTTTGCATAGTGGGAGCGCAGTRGCGGATTACAAAATTGGTTACAAAATTGCATTCTCGTACATGCCTTTTAAACAAATAAATCTTCTGAGTGAATTAGCTAGTTTCCTAATTAATTCGATAAGTTTAGTGGGACATTTCTATTTGATACGTTCTCCAAACTAATCCATCCTGCAAATTTCCTGCCAAAAGTTCGCGCTACTTCAGTTACACCCCCCCCCCCCCCCCCATTAAAAAAATCCTGGACCCCCCATAAAAAAAAATCAGACGTCAGGAGATCATCACTGCACTAACGCGCGCAAGGCACACATTTATTACCATTTATTCTGACAAAATTAAATGTTAGAAGAGCCAATTAAATTTCATTATAAATAGNTTGTTTAGAAACACCGCCGCAGCTCACACTAGTTTACTGCTAGTTCCCACCATAAAAGACTACACTCGTCTTTGAAGAGTCTCAATTGGGTTAACAACCGTGAGCCGTAAAACGGCTAAAAAATTAGCCGTGAATCGTAAAAATGAGAAAAAATAGCCGTGAAACGGCTGAAAAATTAGCCGTGAGTCGTGAAAATGAGAAAAAAATTAGCCGTGAGGCGTGAAAAAGTCAAATTTTTAGCCSTGAGTCGTGATGCGGAACCCCCCATTGAGACCCTCTTTGAAGGCGGAAAAAATTATCTTAAATCCATCTTTTGCCTCCAAAATCCCCTCAGCGTTATGTCTCTAGGATCCTTCTCCAGCAATATTTCAACGGACTTCAAATCCAACCGTGCCAAATCGTCATGTTTGAACGCTTTCCGACTCAATTTTTGAATCCGCTCAAGCATTCATCGAAGTACTCTGCGAACAGAGCTACTTTTCTCACCCGCCGAGAAGCAAGAAAAGTAGCTCTGTTCGCAGAGTATCATCGAAGTGATGGACACCGTTTTGCAAACTCCTCTTAGGGAATACCCGTTCGGCGAAGTTTTCAACCGAAGCCATCAGTTACGCTGCCAGGTTTATTTTCAGGAGCGATGCAAATGCAAATTCTTTCAAGCGTTATAAAATTCCTACACTCCCCTTTGTAGTCGGGATTACTTGAACTGCTTGCCTGAAATAAGTCTGATAAGTGGTGGGAATCGAAGCGTATTAAAGATTTGTTCGACGAATCACGATGCGATTACTCAGCCGTTCAATGCAACTCCATGCATACTTTTGTTAGCGAGTTGTTGTTTTCTTTTCGCTCCGCATTTCAGTTCCCGAAATGATTACTTCGTCCAACTTGTTTTTGCCACGACTTGTCAGTCATTTTGGAAAGCTGTCCCTCTACAGTTTCCGTCGCTGTTTCTTTACAAGTAAGCCGATACAACAGAAATGGTCCACGGCTTCCAGGGCCATGATTAACCGTATTGCAGGAGCCACTGTTCATGCCGACAAGCTTAAAATCCAGTGGGAGAATGGTCACCAAAACGAGTACCACAACGTTTGGTTACGTGATCATTGTCAATGTGCAAAATGYTACAGCCAAGAGCTACACAGGAGAGAATTGAACCTGCTTAACATGMCACTAGATATCAAACCCGAAAAGGCTGCTTCAATTTCAGAAGGACATCAGCTTCAYCTTACTTGGCCAGACGGCCATAACACTGTTTACGATGCAAATTGGCTTCACAACCATGCCTACAAAACGSAGAATGAGACAAGGAAAGAAAGATTGGTGGAGCAATTCATCTGGAACCGACATCGCTTGAATACCATTAAATTACCACAGAAACAATTCAAGTCCGTCATCCAAGATGATAAAAGTTGCTTTGAACTATCGCACGATATTAAAAGGTTTGGTTTTGCACTTGTTAACGAGACACCAAGCACCTCTAGTGCGATAGAAGACTTGGCTGAACGTCTTGCAGGYTTYGTTCGAGTTACAGCTATTGCTGGTGTATGGGAATTCTCGAGCGGATTAGCACGTCCCGATAATGAAGCCCTGGACTACACAACGGATAAGATCGARGCCCATACGGACACGTCTTTTTATTCAGATCCTGCCGGGCTGACCATTCTCCAATGCGCACAGCAAGAAGGAACCGGCGGGGAGAATTTCTTGATTGATGGCTTTAACGTTGCAGAGATGCTRAAGGCGCAGGATATAGATGCTTTCAAGTTCCTGACTTCAAAGAAAGTTCCTTTCCAAATGAAAAGTAAGACAGGCTATCACTTAAATGCTGAGGGGCACGTCATCGAGGTCGATCCATACTGGAAAAATGTCAGGAAAATTCGCTTTAGTTCATATGCCATGGATGTTCTTGATYGCCTCGACGCAGAGGATGTTCCCAAATTCTACCAAGCCATACAGGCCATGTTGCGTATAATTTACAATTMTGAAAATGCATTCTGGTTGCATCTTGAGCCAAATGTCTGTTTGATAATGGACAACTGGAGGATCATTCACGGCCAAAATGCTTTTACTGGAGCAAGGAGGCTACTAGGATGTCACTGCAGTAAAGATGATTTTGAAAGTCGATTCAGATACAATTATGACAGATTCTTGTTGCATCGATGAAACGTTTGCCGTTCATTTGAAAATGATTCAAGAACCATAGCGTGCTGAACTTTCTACCTTTAGTTGGTTTTGATCTTTTCTTTTTCTTTTTTCTTGGACTGTACAGAAAGAACTATGTTATGTACAAAAGGCATTAATGGATTTTTTGAACATATGAGAATAGATTTAATAACAATAGCAAATACACAAGGAAAACCCTTTTTTTGTATTAACAATGAAGAAATTAAAATGAAGGACAATGTTGATAMAGATCTTTGTATTGTTGTTCCAGTTGAATGATAGTGACTAATATTCATTAAATAAAAACTATTTGTTAGTAACTATTTAGGTTTTATTTCATGGACAGTGTCACCTTCCTCCACCACCAGGATGTTCTTGAATGCCTCGACGCAGATGATGTGCGCATGCCAAATTTAATTTCTTGAGTGATGATCACTTAACTGTGCAACTGTACAAAATCTAAGTAGCATTAATTTGTACTAAAAGTGGACCTGAAGCAAGACGGTATTGAATGCTTCATTTGTATCAATTGTACAAAATCTGAGTAGTTCTAATTTGTGCTAAAAATGGACCTGACGCAAGACGGTATTGAATGCTTCATTTGTATCAATTCAATTTAATTTGCGTATCGCATGCACGGTTTACTAAATACACCTAAACATCACTATTTAGTTTGTACAGTTGCACGCATTAAGTGCGCTCACTCTACCGCATGCACGATTTACTAAATACAACTAAATAACTTAAATAACACTGTTTAGTTTGTACAGTTTCACGTTTTAAGTACGATCAATCTAATATGCCATTCTACAAGGCTCCCCTATATTCAAACGACAATCTAGCAGAGTATTAATTGAATAAATTTATTTAATCTTATTATTGACGTATATATATTATTTTCAATAACTGACAGAAAAGGTTTCTGAAAACTTTTACACTAAATGTTACTAGWACACTCAGTAATTAAAGAGATATTTATAGGACAAAAAATGAATAAGTTGGAAATTATTCCATGAAACAAACTCAGCCACCAAATCCGTACAACGTGCGACCTTGTCTTTTCAAAGCATAAACCACATCCATGGCTGTTACTGTCTTGCGTTTGGCATGCTCTGTGTACGTAACTGCATCTCGAATAACATTCTCAAGGAAAACCTTCAAAACGCCTCTAGTTTCTTCGTAGATAAGTCCCGATATCCTTTTCACTCCCCCTCGGCGCGCCAATCTTCTAATGGCCGGCTTGGTGATCCCTATGYATAAGATATAGTGGATATTACATGGGCGCGCGGAGATRCGGGTTTTATCTTCGAGTGTTGAAAASATCTCTCACGAGTGAGCGTAGCGATTTTCAACACGAGAAAATAAATTTCGTATCTCCAAACGATCATGTAATATTCTGTTGATCATATAATTGTATACATGAAAGCAGATTATGTCTTAAAATACTTTTTCTTATAGAGAAACCTCGAATGTGTTAYTTTCACTAGTGAAATATCAATTTTACGAAATCGATAAAYATAGGTATTTCATAGATAATTATATGATAAAATCTCATATGTAATGCATCTGCTATGTAAGTGCCAAAAGCATCGATTTTGTACTTTATAGATTATCTCAACGATAAGCGTTTGCAATACCGCCATCTTGAATATTATTATATGGCAGTTAGACATTTATGACAAGAAATATAGACTGTACGCGCAACTTTTTAAAAATGATTTCAATTCTCTTTATGATATTATATCACAAAATGTAAGAAACATGGAAAAACATATTAACACGTCTATTTATGTTTTGAAACACCGACCTGCTCCATTCCTAGCACAGCTTCGTAGCGAATTAATATCGAAGTAAGATAGAAGTCAAATTTTGAAGCAAGAAATATTTCTAGCAGAGTGTGCGATCGACGATGTGAACAGCACGTGCGATTTGCAGAAAAAAATAATTTTGCGGCATGACTTCACGTGAAAATGATGYTTTGTTCCCTGTAGTTGACATGTACTTCTTTATAATCCAAGATAGTGGCTGTATTAGTGTTAAAGTCTATTAAAAAYCCTCAAATTATTAAAGGYTGCTTACAACAATGCCCTCCCTTTGCCTGATTTATCTCAACCTCGTACAATCCACAAATTCATATGCATCCAATCCAAAGTTAGCCGTTAAGCTCCAAATGGAGGTATCTGTAGGTATCAAATGTGCAGATCGAGTTGACGGACCAGCTTCTCACCAACAGTTTTCATTATTAAGTGTAATATCAATAAATACCTTGGATATTGTCTCGCAGAATCTTGCGATGTCTCTTTGCGCCTCCCTTTCCGAGACCTTTGCCTCCTTTTCCTCTTCCAGACATTTCCTTCTTGGCTTTATGGTTTGTAAGTTCAATTCACAAAACCCTTAGTTATTACAAACAAGCGACGATGAGATAGAGGTCGAAACCTTGGCTTATGCAACCTTATAAAGGTTGCTAAATCTCAAGAGATTTTTGATAAAATAAAAAGAGCGAGAATGTTGAATTAATTCTCAGGAGGCTACAATCTGTTCATCTTTTGTCAACAATSWTTTAACTCAGGAATTTGCATTCTCAAAAAACTGAGCAAAAACATARAGCGATGGAGAGTGTGTTAGGCTTTCGAAAAACAAAACAAAATGAGAGAACTGAACAAATAAGCGGATCCAGGATTTTATTCAGTGAGTGATGGTGGAAGGGGTGGGTAGGTACTCCATAAAAATGATCAGGTTATGTGACAGCGGCCATCTTGGAGGAACTTTAGCAAAGGATTTCTCATTAGTATCTATTGTTCCGATTCCTCCAACATGGCCGCCGGTCTTTTATCTTCTGGATCTCATGGGATCTCAAGGAAAAGTATTGGAGGATGATACTGMGGTCTCAGGACAAGTGTCAGGAGAGAAAGCGYACCCMCTGCACTAGCTCACCACCGCCCCTTGAAAAGAACARACTTTAGAACTAAAGAAATAGAAGAATCATGATTGTTTTAAGTTCAATAGGAACACATTAGATGATAATTTGTGGCAGATAACATAATCCTATATCGATGACATATGCTGGTGCTATTAGATTGAATAATAAGACTATGATATACGTTCTTCCATAGCATATCTATTCCTTCTGCTGGATTTGTACATGTTCGCTAGTTCACTTCATCAAATTTTTCCATTTTACGCTTCTTCCTCTTTTTCCTCCTTATGTCATTGCTTTGTTTTGTGTCTTTATCTTTATGTTTACGTCTTTTCTTAACTTTTTTCTTGTCAGCAAGTTGTGCTTCCGTGTCTGAATCATTTTGCTGAGTAGTCCTTCTCTGCTTTATATATCTATTAATCGAAAAAAATCAATTAATCAATCAATGCAATTAATCAATGCAAGCAAGCAAGCAAGCAAGCAAGCAAGCAAGCAAGCAAGCAAGCAAGCAAGCAAGCAAGCAAGCAAGCAAGCAAGCAGTCAGATACTTAGTCAGTCAATCAAACGATTGAATTCAAGGGATTATTACTAATCCAATCAGTTGTGATCAGTAAGCTTCGATCCTCTGGCAGTAAGCAATGTTAGTTTCATTCTGTAATTCATGATATCCATAAAATCAAAAGTATGGAATTCTTTTATTCATGCATTCATTTATTCAATTCATTATTATTCAATAGTTTTATACAACCATAAGCAGACAAATTCCATAAAATCTCCTTTACCTTATGATACATGTCACCAAACAAGCTATGACCACAACCGCGCCACCAATAAACATAACAGGAAGTAAAGTAGCAAGCCACTTTTTATCATCTTCGTATATCTCTTCAACTTCTGGAGGTACATATTGGTCAGTATGCTGACCTCCACTTGGACTTTCATTTTGAGTTCGCTTATCACTTTCAGTAGCTGTTTTACCAGGTGGTTTATACTTAGTTGGTATGGTTGGTGGGTGGATAATTGGTGGGAGTGTTGGTGGGAGGGTTGCTGGTGGTAGAGTTGGTGGTCGTGTTGTTGGRTGTTGAGTGGTCGGTATGTTAGGTGATATGGTTCTTGGCCTGAACGTTTTGTCTGAAAATATAAAAAACACAGATAACAATTTCATGTCAAGGCCGCGTGTAGGGGATTCACGAGAGAGTTTATAGCTTTGTTTTGTGGTTTCAAGACTTTGAAGATGGCAATTTATCTGATAACGTTAATTCATTTATATCCTATACGATGACTTTACTTACGTTTACAGCCCACCAAAGGAAGAAATTCATCAAGAAGAACACACTTCTCGTTGCTTTTACAGTTGATTTCTAGATGTGAGCACAGAGACTCTCTAGGAGTGTCTACAGAACATAACATTCATRCGAGTTACTGAGGTCTCAGGACAAGTGGCAGGACGGAAAGCGCACCCAATGCACTCACAGCGTGATGCGCCTCTTGACAAGAATAGGGCAAAACAAGAAATTGTTTCAAATTCAATAGGAACACATTACACGATAATTTGTGCCAGATTGATTAAAAAAACCGTAAACAAAATGCAATTTTAACAATTTGCGCACAGTTTTGACCTGCATGTCCTCTTATAGGCAATGTCTAGTGACGCCATTTTGTGCAGCAAAGCATGATGGTAGTCGTAGTCCTCACACTTATTATAGACTCTAAAATATCTCCTTAAAATCTTTKTTAACGCTTTCTTTGTAGAAACAGCAAAACTACTTCACTTTTGGCTTAGAAAAAGCAAAAACTTTTCTTCAGAAACACTGTTTAACGGAACATGAAAATATCCGAGRACTACAACTACCATCATGCTTTGCTGCGCAAAATGGCGTCGCTGCACATTGACCATTGACACACTCTTGAAGTCTTAAGCCACAAACTACTTGGCTTCATAGCAATGTTTTAAATATTTTTGTGACGTCAAGAGTGTGTCAATATATTAAAAAAAGACGCTAATGTCTTGGTGGAATATGGGGTTAGGTTAACCCCCCCCCCCCCTGGATCCTCCACTCTACTTACTAACAAGACGCATTTTGTACATGTCTTTTGGCCCAACCCATTGCGGTCTCAAGTGCTTTCGCTTCCAGTCCTTTACGTTCGCCTCTTGTCCTTGTCTCCAGCTCCCAAGAAGGAAAGTATAATAAGCTTTACCAGTYGAGATTTTATAACTATATTTTGTTTCCCAAATATGGCAAAGGTATCGAGCGCCGATATTGTAGTTTGTGAACTCGAAGAGAACCTGTGAAGAGGATAGRTTGAGKGCATAAATCAAGACTGGTCTTGATAAACCCGCGAAACAAGTCAAACAAGCCAAAGTATTTCGCATGCACCGCGTAAAGACAAAAAACAAACAAAAAACGTGCGCATGAAAAGTACTAATGGTGGTKTATATAGTTGTATTTCTTTTGTTTCACGGGGTTAACACACTCTATAAGCCAGATTGACACTCTCTCATGCATCGATACCATGGCAGAGGTTTTTACCAGGGATTCTGCAGTGAAGTCTAACACTAGCGACGTTTTAAAAACCTGAAGGCACCCGAGATCCTTTGCGAGATTACCCCACACAAAAATCGCCATCTTTGATTTGGAACCGATCAGTTTTCAGCAATAGAATTGAGTTTTTTCAAAGCAAAACAAACAATCCCAAATACAGGTTTCTTGGATGTAAGTCAGCCTTTAAAATCATCATGACGTAATCGCATTCATTTTCGTTGCAAAATCACGTACGCAGGGCTATCTAAAGCTAAATTTCCTTGCCGCGGCATCCTATATCATGTGGTATGACAAATGCTATATTAATGGCATACTATCGAATTATAAAAACATTAAACTCATCACGAATACCGCTGATCCAACGTGTACATGATCAGGTCGAGGGTCGACGTCCATCGCGAGACGTTGATCAAAGAACTCGTCATTCATAATGAAATAGACTTGTTTCTTTATGTTGGCATAGAAGTATACACCAGACAGGTCGTCTTCCTGGCCAACAACCTTTCCCAGGTAGTATTTACCATACTTGTCTACTAAACCCCACATTGTTGGACTGGATGCTGAAAAAAGAGAACGATCGATACTACTCTACATTTTCCCCAACAAGAAATAAATGATCACCAACAGTTGTACCATCCAAACGTAGGGACCAAAAGTCATTACCATCCAAAGTGTTTGATGTTCAGTCCATCCATATAAGTTAAAATGTTGGATAACCGAGCAATGGCTTGTAGATCAGTGGTGTCCAAGACACGAAAATACACAAGMAAGGCAACCAGAGTGATGGCACTTAGACCGTGCAACTGTACAAACTAAATAGTGCTATTTAGTTGTATTTAGTAAATCGTGAACGCGGTACGAAAAATAAATTGAAGTGAAGCATTCAATTCCGTCTTACTTCAGGTCCACTTTTAGTAAAAATTAGTACTACTTACATTTTGTACGGTTGCACGGTCTAAGTGCGATCACAGTAGTGTCAGAAAGATTGGTGATTCAAAGTCAGTTCTGCTTCAGTTGCAGATTTAGTGCAATTTTGTGCATTTCACGGATCTAAATAACAGAAACAAATCTCACCAAWAAAAAACAGCAAAAAAAAGAAGTATGGCAACAAAAACAAAACTCGTCAACAAAGCCACACAAACAAAAAATAAAATCAGTAGTAGCGAAAGAACCAAACTCGAGCATACACTTACCTGGGATTCTACGTCCAACAGCAAGGTCAACTGTGAATGCTGTCAACAACAAAACTTTGAACAGTTCCGTCCTCGACATCCTTCACCGGAGGATTTCATAAGCTACATCATGGCCGGCTTTCGAATTGTTTCACGCTTTGTTGAGTAAACAAATTAAATACAGAACAAAACTATGCTGTCGCGCGCGCACTGTTGAAGGTAATTTATGACGTAATTTTTGAGTATTCTGACGTCATAAACTACTGGYGACGTAATTAAGTGATGCGAGCTATGGTAACGTTATAAGGACTAGCCCTTGATGTCTCGTTTTCATAAAATTATTCTTTTGTCTTTGAGCTTGAGTGACTTAAAAAGAAAAGAACAATTTCATGAAAACGAGACATCAAGGCCTAGTCAGCCATTTTGGATTAAGGTGTATAGTGAACTGCAGTTGCCATTTAAGTCTTGTCATGATCAACAACACAACCTTTTATTAAAACCAAGCTATATTAAGTACAATTTCGTATATTAAATAAGTCTGAAAGAAAGAGATTTTAGATATTTTTCCTATAACTACTGACTAGAGAAGAGTTAAGGAGGTGTTTGGGCCAGCAAGGAAAATCAAGGATGAATCCATGATGATGATTTTCTGTAACATAGCACATTGAAAAGTAAATAGAGCAGCCAGGAAGTGTTCCTGCTTCTCCCATARCTTCTCTTCTCCCGTTCATCGTTCTAACTCTAGCACGGCAGAGCCTTWTTCTAATTACGTCAAARAWTTTACCCAAAATAAGTAACTACAAAATAATCAAATCAATCCTTAAACACTGAATTAGYTATTTCCAAGCTACCTGCTCGAAATTAACGTTACAATTTTTTCATCCCGTTGTCATTTCTTGTTTTACTACATGTAGCTATTAAAGAAAACTCTTTTTCATATTTACACAAAATTTATAAAATGTATCTCTTTCGGTTCCCCACATGAGAGCCCTTCAACCTGCTAAATTCTAGCAAGTCTCTTATAGACGACCTTAAGAGATATAACATCCTGTTACCCCCTTAGGAGGAGCCCTCTATGTCCCACTTGCCACTTGGCTCATAAACTGTGATTGCTTGATGGCCTCTTCGATGCGTGTTGCTTTGATCATGCATAACGAGCCTAATATAGACAAACCAATCATAAGGTAGAATGGAACTGCCCAGCCAAAGCTTTCTACCATCCARCCAATGATAGGACCCTCTAGAACCGTGCCTATACTACCAAACCCTACAAAACAAACGAGTTGATATTAAGACTYTGTAGACGGCTTCTACTAGGCTGCCTGAGTAATTTCATCYCATCATAGACCAAGCAATTTATGCATAAGTTTTTACTTTCGCTTTTCTGGGAAGCGCGCGACTGGTAGCGATTTTTAGCATCAAAACGAGGGTCATTTTTCAGATGCCCGCTCGCGTCGCGCCAGAATGTAAAATGGCGGGAATAGTTTCAAAACATAAACAAAGAAGTATCAATAAAGTAGTAAAATGGTTGGCGTATCCTGCTCTGTTAATCATTGCAAAAAACGTTTTACACATTCTCTGACTTATCCTTTCACTCATTTCCAACTGACAAAAATACTAGAAGAAAGTGTAAAAGTTTTTGCCAACGAAGTAAGCGGTTGAGACAGGTGTCAGTATCTTGTGATTCGACTTGCTCGGAGAGCAAAAATCTTAACACAGGAAGCCCAATAGACTATTGTGTGACATACCATTAATCAGACCGGATACAGCAGCCTGAGCATTTTCCCTCTCTCCAATAGACGCTGCAATAGAGCCTGATATGTAGGGATCAGGTCCGCAGTTACAAGCTCCAGCAATGAACATAAACAAACAGTTAACAGGAATTCCCATGTGACTKGTATAGTGGAACAAGAAGAAGGAGACGGCGCTTCCCATGACAGCAAGACTCACACCATAGACAGCACGACCTTGCATACACCTACAAAATAGAGTGGTTTTCCGTCAACCATGAAAACACTATGAGTCTAATAGTTAAGTAGTAGTTTGTAATAGACCAATGCTACTAGAAGTCTAGGTTGTATCCGATTGATAGGTATAAACATATTCATCACAAAAACAAGTTGTTTTAATTTAAATTTTAATGTTCATTTTTGTTATGGTAACGATGGTAACTATTTAAACTAAACGTTTAATTTATTCAAACTAGTCTGTTGTTTGTTAGCTGTTAGTTTATAGTTTATATGTCTAAAAGTTATATTGACTAGTCTATTACTTATTGCTACTAACTAGTTGGTCTATTTCTTTTCATGGTTGGCGGAAAACCACTCTAGACTAGTCAAGCGCTTTTGCAGTAAATTCAGGACAATATCAAATATCCATGAGAAAACATTAAGGATATTACATGGTTGCTTGAAGATACGAATTTTATCTTCTCGTGTTGATGTTGAAAATCTCTCACCCGTTCGCCGCGTGTTTAATTATATATGTAAGCAAATTATGTCGTAAAATACCTTTTTTACTTTTAATATATAGAGAAACTTCGAACTTTCTTCACTAGTGAAAATACCAATTTTTCGAAAGAGAGAAATATAGGTATTTCATAGATAATTATGAGATAAAATTATTGTTCGCTAATATCTTTGCCCGAAAATAACTGCGCCTGGGATATTTTTGAAAGCACACCCTCGCACCTCAGAAATCGTTTATCTGAAACTCAATAGATATTCATAAACCTTAAGGCTGATTTACACGGTACGATTTGCCGCGCGCGACTTGTAGTATACGATTTTCCTACTACAAGTCGTAGGATTTTAAGCAGTGGTACAAAATCCTACTACAAGTCGTAGGTTGCGTACGATTGTTGTAGACAGGTCGTAGTAGGGGCATTTACACTGAACGATTCAAGTCGTATACTACAAGTCGTGCGCGACAAATCGTACCGCGTAAATCAGCCTTTAAACTACTGCAAATCTACTGTAGTTATGGTCGAGCGGGGCCAGACCCCTGAAGATCAACGCAGTCCTACATTCGTGCCATCTTTAAGGGCGCGCACTGTTGAATCAAAGTTTTAACTATTTAAAAATAGCGCTAACTAGCGGATAAAATCCATACAAAATCTATTCGTGGAATGGATGAATTTATCCATCCTATAAGGCTATACACAAGGTCAGAGCCCAGTAGCATACCTATCAACTACAACGCCAAGGCCAGCTGATCCMACCATCCCACCCATCTCAAATACTGTGGACAAAAGTCCTGCTTGAACTTTGCTGTACTTTAACTAGAAAGAAACAAAGTTTATCGATTAAAGGTCTAGTATCATCCTGGATGCTTTTGCGACCGGTTTTGCTTGTTGTGAAAAGAAAGTGCTTTTTTACGATTGGTCGGATTAGGCTTACAAGATTTAGTTTTTGTATTTTTCGTAATTATTGTTTCTTTCTTGATTGATTCTTTTTCAGTAAGTTTACAAAGGTTCATTATTTTATTTAATCTTTAAAATAATTTTCGCCCCATGACATGGTATCCGGAGGTTTCCAAGCTCATGGTTTCCGAATTCCACTAGCATGCGTAGCGGCCCTAGGGGAGGGGGGAAGGGGGGAGAGGGAACTCTCCTCCCCCTTTTCCCACTTCCCCCTCCCTTAGAGCCTCAACGCAGGCTAGGATTCCACTAAAGATTTCGCCTGGATTCAGAATTCCACCATATTGGGTTTGGAATGGTTTTTCTCTTCAGTGGTTCGTTCAAAATTATGGAACATTGAAGTCACTAATTTGGAACCAGATTCGTCTTGTTTTACTGGATTCCGTTTCCATCGCCACGGATTCCAAGTATCTGGGGTCATGGATTCCGAATTGCAAAGCCAAAAGTTTGCAGGATTCCGGATTGCGTGTTTTTGTGGCGATAATTCCCTGCGAAAGGAAATCATGACGGGGAGCGCAAAGGATCCAGGGATCCAGGGTGATATTAGACCTTTAAAGTATTTCAACAGTCATACTATGTGAWTACTTACTGCTTGAAAAAGGTACATTGGCAGCCACATGTACATACAATATCGAACAAACTTGACAGAAAAGTTAGTCCACGCCAGCTCTGGGACCATCCTAAAATAGTTCAAGGTTAGGCTGACTTGATGGAATAAATTGAATCTTTTTGTTTTAYATACACATTTTCACTAAATTTGTCTGATTAAATTTAATTGAAACGCTTGAACAAACGAGATACTATGCTAGAACGTAGAGGCAAAACAGCAAGTACACTGGTCCTGACCAAACACAGCGTACATTAGATTGATAGCATAATAATGTAGATCTTGACCAATCAAAGAGCCCGTAATAAACCGAACACAGCGCATATTAGATTGATTGGTATAATGATACATGGATCTTGACCAATCAAAGAGCTCGTAATAAACCAAACACAGCGCATATTAGATTGATTGGTATAATAAAACATGGATCTTGACCAATCAAAGAGCCCGTAATAAACCAAAAATAGCGACCTACTTCAGTCTCCAGAGCTGTAAATATGACAGTGACTTCTGTTGTGCCGGGGAAGATGCTTTATTAGTAGTTGGGAGCTTGGTTTCTAATAGCAAAATAAACAAGAAAAGATGAAAGAAGGCATAGGTAAACATGAAAAGTCAAGTAAGGGATGTGTGTGTAAAATGTGTCAGAGAAAACTAAAAACACCCAGAGGTTAACCAGTAAAATTCAAACAACATTGTCAGGGATAATTACCTTTTCCAGGGATTTGCATACCAACTTCCTCAGGTGTTTTCATAAATAGGAATACTAGAATACCAATACTACCCTAAACAATGATGATATATATATATATAATGGTTAATACTACTTAAAAACAACCAACTCCACAAACAACATGACTTGTGTAAACCTTTTCCAAAGCCTCCCATTGTACACCRGCTTCCCATCCTTCCCCTCCTGAGTAAAGTATACTTTTTTCCTAATTTTGACCACACATAGGTGATTGAGGAACAGATGTAAGCAGGCTACACCACAGCCAACCTGACTGTGTTACATGTAGCGAAAGGACTAAAATGGAGCATTGTTCAGTTCTTGATGCAAATCTTTTTCTAGGTAAGCTAAGTATTAAACAAAATAACATGAAAAAAAGTACATACGACTATGAATGAAGGAACCAAGAAAACCATTTTGATATCTGGCCCATAAGATGATAGCAGCTTAACCTATGAAGCAAAAAAATAGTGAAAAATCCTTAGACTTCTTTATCAAAAATAGAATGAAATCTTGTAGTCTGACAACAAGTCCAATTTTTTGATTGGGAGGAGAAAAAATGAATTAAATGAAATAAAATGGGACAAAGTAGAAGATGGAAACACTCACAGCCAAGGCACTACCCATAATTCCTCCAGCAAATGTGCAAGTACCAAACAACCCAAATATGGAGGTCCTTTGCTTGTCAKTAAACCATGCCCCAAGTGACTTGACACAATTTGGCCAAGCTGTTGACTAAAACATTGAACAGTAGAACTTTGTGCACATAAAAAAAATCTCACTTCTTGACAGGAAACCCTATTTATAGCAATACATGCATCAGGAGTTTCGGAGAACAATGCGTCCGCCATCTTGAAAAGTGGGACTCGAATCACTAAATTATAACTCCTAAAGAAATTAAAAGGTTCTAAGCTAATGTAATCTAATATAATATACGATATAATGATAGATTAGTTGACTAAGCAGCTATGAAATTTGTTCTAAGGCAAAACAGTGATTCAGGGCTCACTTTTCAAGATGGCGGACACATTGTTTTCTGAAACTCCTGATGCGCGTATAATAATGAATGGTAGAGCACTGCAGAGGTCATGTGTTAAATTCCCGTTGAAACCTGATAATTTTCAGTCGGTCCATTTGTTGATAATCACTTAAATATTATTATTATACAGTAATAGACCAATCCTGCATTCACTTGKATGAACACAAAACAATGGCTTCATTCCGAGGCTGGAGTTTTATCTTATGTTGAAAACTCCAGCCTCGAAATGAAGCCATTGTTCTGTGTTCATCCAAGCGAATTTGGGATTGGTCTATTAAACTGCGACAATCATTTTTCCTTGCAAACATAATTTATATTAGTGTAGTCAGTGTTCAAGTTCAGAATAGTTTGCTATCACTCTTAAAATGATTACAATGTAAAAAAAAACTTGTTTTGTTACCCACCTGGAAAGTACCATTTAAGAACAAAAGAAAAGCGAAAACAAAAACGTTATTGTGGAATCCAAAAGAGAACTACAAGACACAAAATGAAAAAAGCAGATTTTAGTAAATGCACAGGGGATAATTATTTACACAATTTATAAGTACATGTACATGAATAATAATTGTATYCCAAGACCGCAATGCATTGTTTGTATTTCACTTCACATTATCTGCACTACAAAAAGACAATTTTAAAACTTAATTGCTTCCATTGAAGTTCCTGATTGTATGGAGCTGTTATGTCAGTCTGACAATGAAAACTCCTTTGACAGTGATAGAATGACCAAATACTTCATTTTTGTCTTGGAATACAGTACATGTTGTACCTCCAGTATTCAACATTTTAAGAAATACAGTTGTAGCTRTATAAAAATAAGTAAGTGAGTCTATAAAGACTCACAATAAAACAAAAAATTATGATAACTCTCACCATTGACAATGCAGAGCCAACTAAACAGAATGTTAATGCTAATCTTGCACCAAACCTATCACCACACGATGCAAATAATATCTAGAGAAAAGAAAACTAAAAAATAATATCATAAAAATATACATGTGCTAGATGCACTTATGCTAATTTTAATTTTAAATTGGAAATTATAATGGGGTATTGATCGAGACGATACTCTTGTGTTTGTTATTTATAGCCTTACTAGTAACTGCCAATAGTTTTTGCATTACAATTTGACAAAGTCCAAYGGGTCGCTACATGTAGCTTACTTCTTAATATAAGGTCACACTAAGGTACCCTTAGTAGTGGTCACATTGAAAATTAACCTTAGTTATAGGCAAAATGAAACCAAGCTGACCTTAATACTGAGGGGCCGTTTTTACAAAGTGTGGGAGGGTTTAAAAGTTATCAACCAGTTTAAGTTATTATTTGATTTATTGTTTATGAATTTTATCTGCTGGATGAAAATTTAGTGTATAACTTTCTCCATGGTCTTCATACAATCCACTCTACGTTAGAACACTGGCCACACTACTGTTTCATTACAATACATGCATCTAMATTGTTAATAAATATAATTACAATACAAATGAAATGATGACATTKTAGTTCACCTGCATAATAGCATAGGGTAAAAGTAATGCAGTATCCAACAATCCTAGCTTTGCACCTGATAAACGGTAGAGATAACCCAAAGTAGCTTTGATCTGTAAAACAAATTAATGAAATTCAAGGCCATGAATKCTTCCATTATTTAAATGTATGAAGTTATCTGTTAGAAGTATRATGCATATAATATGAGAATTGTATCGAAGCCTTGAATGCTATTTGTAAGATCTTAAATATGYAATTTTAAGCTGTCCCTGATGACGACACAAGACAGTAAAAGCTTGGAATCACATATTAAGATCTTACATATAGCAGCCAGGGCTTCAATTGATTCAATTCGTGCATAGTTATTATTAAAGAGCAATAAAAATATAGTCAATTGAAATATCTGCCCACATCACATATTGAGTTTGTATGTTATAGTATCCCTAGGGGTTGTCTCAATATATTCAATATGGGGGCACACATGTATACTGGAAAACACAGCATAACAGCAGTTTCAGCATCAATTAAAGTAAGCAGGGTGTCTGTTTTTGTGTCTGTAGACATATACTGTCAGTGTACATGTATGAATTTTAACAAAAGTTGTCTAAACGTTGGCTGGTACTTTGGAAGGGAATCAGATTTGTTGGTAAGTATAATAAATATTATTTAATTCGAGCAAATGAAGTTTAAGTTAAATGGATAAGGATTTGCTACATTTGGCATTTTCCTTGAGCATTAATCAAGTCTCTTGTTATTGCTCTGTTGAACAATTTCCCTGCAAAAATCTGGAATTAATATAAAGACTCTAAAACTTGCGAGAATTTAATGTCGATATTGCCAAAATGTAATCTTATACAACGCCTTATTTTTTAATATTTTTTCAATGTTTTCAAATCAATGACAAGCTGACAAGTTACTCACAACTCCCAAAGGCTTTCGAAGTAAATATGTTGACGCATACGCTGTCCATGTTAAAATAAAGCAAAGTGCTTGCCGCGTTTGTAAAGCATTCACCATATTTGCAGGGTTTTTTTTCCTATAATTTTCAGAAGACACGTCCACAAAAGTCATTCCATCTCCACCATTTTGTAATTAACGGAGTACCAGTCCAGCGCATCCACAGGAAACCCATACCATTGCTTGACTTCTGAAAACTTTGAATTATTGAAGTTTTGAAAAATRATCTATTAAACAAATCAAAATATCTTCATATTAAAAGAATTTCCTTCAGGGTTTATTTATGTAATAATTTTATTTTTCTTCATTTACTCGGAAAAAAATCAGATCAGCTGAGCTCGCGAGATTTAAACCCCGTGATTATGCGTGACCGTTGCTAAGCAATAGCCAATCATGATCTATGTTGTAACGGATTGAAGCCAGCAGTCGACAGCGCGAGCGGCCATTGCTGATCAAGCTCTCTTTCTTGTAAAGAAAATTTTGTTTTCCTTGTCGTGTCTGCTTTAAAATGCCTCGAAGGCTTCACCCAGCGTTTCAATCAAAGACAGTTGTGAAGTTAGAATGTACTTTTTGCGAAAAACTGCTTTGTATGCGAGGAATGAAAGCGTTGCTTCTCGCTGATACGAATGTGGAACTATACTCGACAGACTTGCCTCCCGAAGGGTAAGCGTCTTTTGCGTACGTATTTTGATGCTGTTTTAGATTAAATATGTAGCTAAATCATGGTTATTTTATTTCTAGTGCRATCCAGCTAGTTGGCTTAGATTATTCGACGAAAAATTGTGACTGCAAAATTAAAGACGTCGCGTGCTTGGGATGGTGAGTAAGCTTTTAAAATATCAGCTGTTTGAGATCTTCCATAAACTATGTGAAGTTTATAATCRAAACCTCTCTCTTGATTTCAGTGGCAACGTTGTTGGTTATCATGTAACTGTACCATGTTCTTCGTGTGTGAAAAGTTGCAATAACGGCCATTTCTGGATGTTTCATTCGTGTGCTACATATGCTATCGACCGAATAGACAAAGCAGGTAAGCTTATTGAAAATCAACTGAATTTGTGAAAAAAAAACTATTCAAAAACTATGGTATTTTACAATTGGAAAAGTCAGAAGGGGTATAAGATTTTATCGTTTACGTTTAAATCAAAGAACTCTAGAMTCGTGTGTAGCTGCAAAGATCGATCAAGAGGCACGTGAAACGTTTTGTTGTCCAGAGAATAGATCTAGATATCTTTTCATTAAAACGATTTCAGCTGTTCTTTGAACTTGTGCATTCTCCTATTAAACTGCTTAGTCAGTTAATCATGACAAATTTTCTAAGAAAACTAATGAAGAAGTTATTTATTTCCGTGAAAGAACTTGCGTGACAATGCTTCTTTTTTTGAAATTTGGACTTTGAGTAAAATTGTCTTTTGTATTCATTTCAGGTGACAATTTGATGTTATGGGGCTCACTACCCAGTTGTACTGAAGATACCGAATTAAGAGACGATTTTGAATTTGATTATGAAGAATGTTGCCGATAAAGTTTTTGGATTCAAAGAATTTCAAAAACAAACGTGACTCAAATTAATGAAAAGATGTGACATCACCATAATTATAGATTCATTATAGCAAGGCAAGACCGGGCAAGAAAATTTGTTGGGAGTCCCAATAATGAACACTTTGAAATATAAATATGTAAATTGTAAGGATAGACAGAGGCATATATTATTTTTGGGGGGATAGAGAGTAGACTATGCCTTCATGTATCAAGAGTTCATTTTCTACAATAGTTCAAATAGATCTATGGCAGTTTAGAACTGACCTTCATTGTTCAAATGAAAAAGTTTGATTAAGTTCAACATGATCTTCAGCAAAAATATCTAAAAAAATATTATAATAAATTGCAGATGGTAAGAAATACATGTACTTCTAATAATTTGCTGAAGAGGCTATTCTAGAAACAACAGTGAAGTGCTCTTCTTTTATAGACGTGAGTGCCATCCTCAAAACATTCTCCATTTTACATGTAGGGAAGATCAAAACAGATTGCAAGCTATTTGATAACTCTTTTAGTCTTTGCATTTCTACTAGTAATATAGTTAAAAATAATGTACATTAGTCTAATGAATTGCAAAAGGTTAAATATATATATAAATATTTTGTAAATAAATTTTCAATGTTTCAATTAATTAATTCAATAACATTGGGTGTTGGTGTTAAAGAGTTGCTTGAAAAAATTAGAGCACAACAGGCGTTGAGATGACTTTAGTCTTGAACCACAGCATTGTGCCTTCAATGTTCAAAAGAAATTGTTAAAATTTAGATTTTTCTGCAACTTTGGCGCACGGCTCATGCTGCAAATCAGCTAATGACGGAATGAGTTTATGAAAAGCTCCACCCCTTAAATTGGAGGAAAGAACAAACTCCGAAACGAAGAAGTCGCATTGCAATGATTTTTGCTGTAGTCTCACATAGCCTGCAAGTTGCAACCAACATCATCCTCAATTGAAAACATTGCCTGATGCCCCTTCCTCACCATAATGGTGCATATAGACAAGAAGGTTTTTAATTAGAGTGGTTTTCATTAACCTGTGAAACACACGTAAGTGTATTTATTGCTATAACACTTTGGCTCTTTTGTTTTTTATTGTMTCTACGCAACTATTACGATCTATTACACTTGAATTATTGCACTTTGTTTCACGGGTTTATGAAAACCACTCTATTGTGACAATATTATTGTTCACTTTTTAACACATTTTTACTGTTTTCTGTGAGCTGTTCTCAACACAGTTTTTGCTCCTGTTAATCAAAGTTTTGAACTGCTTTTGAAACTGTACTTCGTTAGAACTTATACTCCCTCATAGATTACACTAACGTGAGGGACAGTTAGCATTTGATCTTAAAGTCTGCAAAGGTGACTAGGCAACTTAAAAGCTCACTTATTGCATGTGCYAATGCTTACGAATGCCAATAAAGGCAGGTCAGYAGCGTTCACTACCTCTGCAGGTAGCCTGCCTGCAGAAGGTACTTCCGCATAGGTTAGTGACTTTTCCCTTGTAGCCTCTCCTTTAAACTAGCTTCCTGTCCCATCTAAACTTTGTGGAGGAAATTTGACTACCTGAATTTAAATGGAAGATAAATGTAAGTCTGTAAGAGATTGTAGAGTGTGACTGACCAGCAACAAACAATAATGCAAAACACAATTAACATAAAACCATAAAAAAACGACATTATACTGTACACTGTTTGGAAGATGCATAGGCAAAACAACCAAATACTTATCCCCTTCCACTGAGAACAAATATGAGCACTGAGACATTAAATACTTTCTAAAATAATTATTACATTTGATCTGAAAGATGTACATATATCTTTGCATAGAATATATTTAGAATATTTCAACATCATACCTTACAAAAAGTTACAATAAAAGCATAGCCTTATAATATTTAGCTAGATCAGATGAGATGACACGTACATTTTATGTAACTAGTCTCTTAAAATAGGAAGAGTTTGTATCTTCTAATAAGTTTACTGAATGTCTTACGCAATCACGCAATTGCCTGTCAAACGCCGTGACACTTACAAACTTCTTGTTGAGTACTAGTAAAACTTTTCCAATACAATGGAAACTCTTTCGGTATACATAATTACACTAATAACAGCCGAATATCAGTCATTCTCATCTGCTTCTGTTTTAACTTCAATTTGAGGACTGTTTTGTTCAGTAGAGTTCGTCGAGCTATTTGAGTTTGTTGTGAAGATGACATTTACTCCATTGGGAAGACTATTTCCATTTGCAACTCCACCGTTCGCGAATAATGATCTTAATACATTGAGTTCTTTTTGTAACAGTGCAACTTTAATCCGAAGGTCTTCGTTTTCCTTCGTCAAATCGTCAACTCGCTGTTTAGTTTCTTCGATTCGTTGTTTGGCCTTTCTGCGACTTTTTCGCACGGCGATGTTATTTCGCTCTCTCTTTTTTACATACTCTTCATCGGCGTCCATTCCCGCTTTATCAATCGGACTAGTTGGATCTTCACTATTTGCATCAGACTTCGATTCGTTGTCGGGCATGATTAAACGTTYTAGAACGCTTTTTTTTGAGTGAACAGCTTTCGACGTCTTTGCGCACGACTTACAAAGAATCCCAAATAATAGTGTAAACTTGCGCAATAAGCTCTCCCGATCCAGTCCCTTCGCTGAAATTACGCAATAACTGTAGCTATGTCGCAAGAGTAATCTGGCCTCTCGTGATTGGCTAGAGACAAGTAAATAGTGATAGGACTTTATTGGGGTTCCTGTGTCACTGCAAAAAGTGAGAATAATAAGATGCACAAATAAAAATAAAGTAGGAATTAGATAAAATATCATCTCTCTTTTAACACCCTAAAATTAAAAAAAGTTGATACTCAGTAAAAGATAAAATATTCAGGGCATTATAAAWAAAAGAAAGAAAAAAAGATATTTTTATTAAGTCGAGTTTTATAGAATAMAAAAAAACTAAGCCTGAAAATAGTCAACTAATAAAAATTTGAATAGCTTTCCTCGAGAGTCAGCATTGGATCCATGCCCATCTGATATTGTGGCTAGAAACATCACTTGTAGAAATAGTGCTAAAGTGCTACTGAATTATGCTCCTTTCTCTGCTTTCTATTATCTAATCAACGTCCTTATAAATTTCAATATTGTTATTTTTGGCATTTTGATTTTGTTCACTGTAACTTCCATAWTRTGTGCAGTAGATCCAGGAGAAATTGCAGAGGATTGTATGGCCATGGATAAATGCGCCAAATCCCAAACAAGCACTTTTCGAAACAAAARTAGTTGTAAAGCATCCAGGTTCTTGATACTGAATCTTAATTCAATGTTCTCTCTGYTCAGTGGCTGAGCATTATCAGACTGAACAATATTTTATTGTTATAATCAATATTTGCAAAAACAATGAGACTGAATTTTGAAATTGTTTTATTTTATCCTGCATTTACAAATGATATATAATTACAAACAATGGTTTAAAATATTTCACACAAATTTACATTTTCCATGTAAATAAATAATATTTCATAAGTTGAAAGAACTGAATTCACTACTTCTACCTGTAAATGCTTTCTTCCTTTTTATCAAACTTATATAAATAACCAAACTCCCACAAGAATCTCTATTACCTATGAAATATAATAGATTTTTTGTTTTCTCTATAGTTTGCAATAGCTTGATAAAAGAAAATGAAACTTTCATATACAGTGTCTTTTTCTTKGTAGTGCTCTTTGAACTCTCCTACTATCTTTGACCAAGTATAATTATATTAATAAATCATTATTAACATAATATGATTCTATTGCAACTGTTTTCTTAGAAATGATTTAACTTGCACTTGTTTGACACTAGACAATTTTTCTTTCAATGGATAAATAAGTATCACTGCATAAGAACATGATTATATACCAACATGATCATAGCCTCTTCACAGTTCCTGCGGCCAYCTTGAAAGGTAACCTCATGCCTTGAAGACTTACGTTTGATCATGCAATAGAAACTATTATTCATACCCATATGTAGAAAATAATACTATAATACTATTCATAGGTAGTTGTGTAAAAAGATATTTAACACTGTAAAAAAATAGGTGCAGCAACTTTGACTTTTTATGGAGTTAAATTTATCTTTTTACACAACTGTTTTTTTAGAAACACAGACGCAGCTCAAACTAGTTTAACGCTAGTTTCCACCATTTTGACTACTCAGAGGTATCGATCATTGCAAACTTATTGAAACTTGTGTAGGTGCAAAAACATGCTTACATGTACATTTCAAGATGGCACAGGGAACTGTGGCCGAGACCATTTAGCAGCAGAGAGCACCAGAAAAGCAAGCTTTATTAGAAACAATGTAGTGAGTAAAACTGCATTTTGCTATTCTGACAAGTGTTCTCGTTTTTTAAATAATATTATGTCATAATTATTGGACTTTCATATTTTTTCAAACAATTGAATTAGTATGCTAGATGATAAATAACTATTTTTATAGCAAAAACCTAAAAATTCCTTTTAAAAAGAAACGTTTGTTTGAAATAGGCCAATTACATGATGGTGTAATTAACTTTACTACAACTACCAGAAATCCTTATGCATTTTCATTGCTATTCAGATTATTATCCCTATGGAGATTAGTAAAACAATATTGCCACTAATTGCATTACAAAAGAAAGTGGGCGAAGCATTCTGGTAGTTGTAGTTAATGGCATCATAATACAAATTGCCTATCATTTATGTTTAATAGTAAATAACTATATATCAAGTACCTAATTCCTTGACGCTACTTGATGATGTCAGTGGTCAAACAACTAGAATATGAAAAAATTTTACAATTAATCTTCCCAAAACTTTATGTATAGTTTAAAACACAAGAGAGAGTTTTTTATTAGGTATGAAGACTCGATTAGCTGAAGGCCACAATCTTAATACCTGATAAAATACAATCCAGCTTCAAATACTTAAAAATGTTACTAACGATTCTTGGAGAAATTGCTAGGAAAATAGTTTAGAAATGAAAAGTACAATCTGATCATGCAAAAATTGCTGTGCAAAGCACATTATTTGGTATCCTACATTTAATGCAAGAAGTAGTAGACTGTACACAAATACGCTGGTCCGCTTTACTGGAATCAGCTAAATCCTGCATTGGTTGATGAGATTTTAAACCTGAAACCTCTGCAAGGATCATAGACCTTTAAGTTGATAAAGGTTGCTGTCATTAACATTCTTTTTAAATACAAATAATAGTAAAAACATAAATTCTTAAAAGACTATGAGTCAGAATAAAATAAGGAATGAGAATTATCAAATATACATTACATTGGCTGTTAAATGATTGGTTAAGCTCACGTTATGGATTGCGTACGGTTGATTTACCTAGAAATGTACAACAAAATCAGTTCAAGGCTAGTGATTCTAAAAATGTAAATTACTTTTTTCTCTGGTTGTGCTGCCAATGACCTCATTTACTCTTTTTGTTGTTGTTAGGTTAATAGGTTTTAATTATTGTTTTTTGGGGAAGGCTTATTCATTGTTTTCTCAACCTCTCATAAGATTTGTTTTGATTGGTGCTGACTTTCCCGATCAACCATGAGTAAACTTTGGTTGATCTATGTACATGTATTATATGTTCAACTGGTGTAATCAAGATTGTGAAACTGTTTTCTTGCTCTGATACTGAATTTGAATGGCTCAATAGTATTTTCAGATAAGTTCAATTTCCAATTTTTGAAATGCAAATAGTGACCAATGATACACACTTCCTCRAAACAATGTTCAACTTATTCTTGACTGCAATAATTGTCCATGGCTTAACCTCCTCTGCTAGTAACACTTCATTTTGACCTTATCTATGGGATTCCTGTAGTATCCTCTTCAACAAGCAGAAGAGTTCATAGTCTCCCTCGGTCATGTGAAGAAGACAGGAAGCCCAAGATTAGTAAGAAGAGCAAAATGAAAGAGAAGTGGACAGAGGAGGCTATGCAAGACAAGAAAGCCATGTATTGAAAACGAGTGTGCGTATTAACAATAAAACCATTTAAAATTTGTAGCCTATGAATTATTCTCTATGTAGACTCAACTTAATTTTAATCAGTGACATTTTGCCTTCATCTAGTACATACAATGTAGAACACATACAGTATGCCTACATGTAGAGCGGATTTCGTATGAGTGGGAAACRGACGGTACTGTACTGTGTCCGTAATGGTACTGTAACCAAAGTCTAGTGCCCCATTGTTTCACCAAAATTCTGCAGGCCAGGTGCGGTAACTGTGCGGTAACCGTGCGGTAACGGTGTCCCACTCATACGAAATCTGTTCTAGTACTCCAGTAGGAGTCAAGACTCTGTAAAGTAACTAAAAGTTTTTGATTCAAACACTTAGTTTACACTTTAGAATTATTGCCATTCTTAGATGGAGCTAATTCTTCACTTGAATCCTCACCTTTAGTCAWTGCCTTCTCCTTTTCAAATCCACTTTTCATCTCTGAATGTTTCACATAGGTATAAGCAAACGACCCGCCAAGCACCGTCACATTACTCAACCACCAGAGAGCTGTCTTAACTTCATTAAAGTAAGACACAGAGATAATAGTCTGTACACATGCCTTRGCTGTACCGCTAATGTTGTGTGTTAAAGGACTTGTGACTTTAATCTGGAGTCCTGTCATATACCCGATAGCAATGCCAAATARGCCACCCATTGTCATCATTGTCCAGAAATATGGTGAATGWAGTTTAGGGAAAGTTGTAATCTCTTTGAATTCACCTAAAACAAGCATCAAAGGCAAGAATAGCAGACATGCATTAAAGTTATTGTAAAGTTGTAGACGCCAGATGTTGTTGTCCACAATAGGGATGATTTTCTTTGTGTAAATGGCATTTAGAGATACACAGAGACTTGCTAGGATTCCAAATACGATTCCAGAGTAAGATATCTTTGTTGTGGTGCCTTCTTGCTCTACTCCCATAAGGAAGCCACCAATGATGACCATACAACAGATAATAGCCTTGATTGATGTCTTTTGACCAAGAATTATATATGAACAGATCTAAAAGAAGTGTGTAATATTCATTAGTATAATATCATGGTTCTGGTTCACAAATATGAATTAATGAGTCAGTTTTAATGTTGTAAAACTGAGCTTTCAAAAGATTTTATCTAATCCTTTTATATAACATAATTTAAATCATCATCTAAATATTGTTATTCATGAAAATATTATGTATTATACTCTCATATTATACTCATCATACAATCATGTATAATCATCTATGAAATACCTATATTGAATGCTGATAAAATTGCTATTTTACAACATAATTGGCTTTGTTCATATATAGTTATATGAATAATAGAATATTAAATGGTTTCTTGGAGATACAGATTCTATTTTCTCATGTTGAAAATCTTTTTAATAAAATCCATATCTCTGCACATAATATCCTCTTTAAAATAGATATTTTCCAAATGAGTTTAAATGYATTTCTCTGAAAGAGAAATAATTTCCTTAATGGACGAAAGGCCTGGCCCTAGCTATCTATTGTGTTTATGCTAATTACAGTAGGATAGTGTTGTGGTTGAGAAATGTMTTTCTCAATGATTGTCGTCCAAGACTATACTACATTACAAGCGTTTAAAATTTTTTCTACTTCTGGGTTTTTGTTAATAAGACATTTTTGTGTCTTTGCCAATAAAATGCAATTTGTTGGTTTGGACCGACCACTGCACTCTGTATGTTGAGTCATTATTGGGACTTGAGAGAATGTGAATGAGACTTTTTTAATTTCAAACTTACCACATTAAATACTGTAGTTAATGAACGTCCAACATTGTAGAATGATACACCAAGGTTCTTCAGACAAAGGTTATTAAATGTGATCATTCCAACAAAAACTATTGATAAAGGAAGAACCTGAAACAATGAAAAAAAAAAACAATTAGAAAAACTAAAAAAAAAGACAATTTGAATGATTGCTTCCTTTTACTTATGAAAATTCTGATCCACGTAAGCTGCGAAAATTCTGAAGGTGGTCTTTTAACTTGACTCAATGACATTAAATATAACTAAACATACTGAGGTGGCGTTACAGTAGTGCCTTTTTCATATGATTATTACATGTAGTTTTGAAAGTGGAAAAACAAAACTATTATTTTGTTTTGGAAAAGCAATAATTAATTTTTTAAAGAATGATTTCTGTAACACAGTGTCTCTTTTTTGTCTCTGTCTTTTTGTAAAACAAAAACAAACAAAAAAGCCATTGTTTTCAATTGTAACTTAGTTAACTTAGTTTATTGTGTTTGGTTTATTAGTGAACCACACACATACTCGCACTCTCGCAAATGAAGTAAAGGAACCTTAGAAGTCAGTGAAGTGTGCGTTCAGATTGTAGAAGAATAAAGGTCAGAAGTTCAGTGGATATTGTCCTCAGTGTTAAAATTATGCCCAACCAAATGTAGACCAGGCTACATTTATTTATTTATAATAATAATTTTTTTTTTGTCGTCAATGAATTACTGAAAAAACGTTCTACCTATCAGCATATAACAACTTTGTTAATGTATATTATGCAAACACTGCACAGCACTAKCAAATRAATTATGAAATTCRTGTAGCCAGTGTGTAGTGTGTCCAACCCCTCATCTTGTCKGAAGAATRGKAGGAGAAGGTTGGGAAAAGCCGGCTCACRAGCTAAATTTACGGTACCTGCACTGCAACTGAGAGATCAATGACAAATTCAGGAAACTTATCAAGCCATGGGTACTTGTCACCAAGGAGACTCAAGAAAAAYAAACAAATWACTGTCACAACACATTGGAACCATGTCACAAACAAAGGTGCATCAAGCTGTTGATAAAAGAGAATAGTAAATCAAGTAATTATAATGGTAAAATGAAGAATGAAAAAAGCAAAAAGGAAACTTATTAGGTTTCTCTGCTGTGAAGCAAAAAAAAAGAACTCCAATTGGAGGTATGAGAGCTCTTTTATAGTGGCCACCCTAGAGGTGACTGCTTAATAGGATTCCACTTATAAGTAAGCTCACATACAAGTATGATTGTCATTGACTTCTGAAGTCTCTAAATTAATTGACATTCACGGATTATATTAACATCGACCAACTGAACCGAATCCGCAAATATCAGTGAATTTAGAGTGTGAACTGCCCTTGAACTAATAAAGAGTTTATACAGTAACAAATCTAAAAGCAAAATAAATTATGAATAAAATATACTCATGACTACCTTCAAATCTGGACTGCTGAGGAGGTACTTGTTTAAAAACACCAAAGAGATTGAGATRAACCTTGGATATCAAAAACACAAATAAAACATAGTCTTTTCTGGCACACTGCAACGTGGCTTAGTCGACCGTGCTGCTGGGAGACATCAAAAAGGGGCGACGACGTGGCAACATATTTGAACAAACTCCAGCATTTTAAAGTAAACCCTCAAAAACCACAAGAACTATTAAGAAAATCCACTTACCAGTATCCTGCAACAACRGCTGCTATCTGCAAAGTTTTTTTAAGGAAAGATTCCGGCATTTCTTGGCCTAGCGTTATGCTGAAACTCTGTGGCTCGACTGTGTGGGCGCCCACTGTCATTACCGCTGACTTAAGAAAGCTTTGTAGCCAGGCTTTGGAAGAACACAAATTTCAACATCAAGAAATTTTTGACGCAACATTTCTATTGATAATTCTTGGTAAAATTTCTGCTAAGGAGATCTTTTAAAGTGTCTAWTTTGCCGACTTTCCAACAATGTGTAGTATTGAAGAAGACGAAGTTTCGATCGAACATCAACCACGTGTTCAAGTCAATGCTGTTTGCATGAAGTGTTCTGATGCTAAGGCTGTTGTTCTTGTACGATTGAATGACCCTCTATGTAAAGCCTGTTTCCTGGCCTACTTTACACACAAATTCCGTGCAACAATTGGCAAAGCAAGAGTCATCAGGCATGAGGATAAAGTTCTCTTGGCGATCTCCGGTGGGCCCTGCTCGCTTGCCATGTTGAAGTTGGTCGCTCAAGGATATAGCGAGAGTGTCGCTAGAAAGTTTCGTTTTATTCCAACCGTTGTGTACATAGATGAAGGAGCAGTGTTAGGTCTAAGCCAGGATGAGAGAGAAAGGGTTAAAAAAGAAGTACAAAATTTTGTTGTTGAAAATGGGAATTTTGCTTTTCACGAAGCGCCTTTGGAAGATTTATTCAATGATGAAACCAGTGACGCTGTCTCTGCAACMAAGAAACTTCAAGACTGTTTTAACTCAATATCTTCACTAACAGCCAAGGAAGACCTCCTCAAGTCTCTAAGAAAACAACTTTTGGTGCAAATAGCTTCTGCCACAGGTAACCCAAAGGTTATGTTGGGAGATTCTGCATCAAGAATATCTATAAGACTGCTTTCTAATATCTCACAAGGAAGAGGGGAGGCACTGTCATACGATACAGGCTTTATTGACAGTCGCCATGGTGACATTATAATTTTACGTCCAATGAGAGAGTTTGTTGCTAAGGAGATATCGCTGTTCAATTTTTTCAGCCAAATTGATGCTATTAACATCCCTACCTTAGCAACCAAATCTGGTTGTTATGCAAGCATTGATAGATTGACAGAGAATTTTGTAAGTGGGCTGCAAGCACARCTGCCATCCACAGTTAATACAATTTTCAGAACTGGTGATAARCTCACAGAGGCGAAAGATCTGAAAGAGAAGTGTTCTCTTTGTGGTATCCCTGTGGGATTTTCCCTTGAAAGTGCTATTGGAGAGCTAGATTCTCTGTCACTGGATTATMWGCCAGGTCAACTTGAAGCAAAAGACTCTAGTTCTTGTATTTCTAGAGATAGTTCTCAAGTGGAAAGTAGGAATAGTTCTCAATCAGAAAAAACTTTGTTTGATCTTTGTAAAACACTTTGTTATGGTTGTACATTAACTTTGAAGGACATGAAAGAAGGTTTTGAGATTTTACCTTCATTTGCTCAGATGTCAGCCAGGCAAAAGCTAAATCAGTTAGAGATGAAAGAGCAATTACATGGATTTTTGATTGGCAACTAACCAACATTAGGCATATTGTAATAAAGTATATACATATACCAGCTGTTTTAGACATGGTAGGCTTTTTACAGGTCCTGGAAAATGTGGAGTTTTAGATTCTTTCCAGGCCTGGAAAGGRATGTAATCTTTAGATCTTTAGACATTCGGGGGTGGGGGGGTGGAGTAACATCTTTCATAAGTTCGTTAGAGTGAAAAAACATTGAAAAAACAAAACATAAGTAATGTGTAGCACTTATATTTATTYAATCAATAAAATATATATTGAGCTTGTCAATGATAATGGTTTACAATCATAAAGAGGTGAATGGTTGATTGCATTAAACCAAAGAGGAAAGGCGATATCAGTGTTGTCTGCAATATAACTCGCAATTATAAATCACTAAATATATGAATAATTCACTGAATCACGTAACAAAGATTCCTTTGCTGCATATTGATAAAAGGAGACGACGGGTCCCTCGGAGAACTGTTCTTATGTCCCAGCCAGCTTCATATCAAGTTCACTGGTTGCCAGCAAAAATATTCAGAAAAAAACAGAACTCTCCAGGCAAGGAATACTTTATAAGAATTTTTGCCAGGAAAATAAAAATTTCCTATCTACAAAAATATAAGCCGTTTTTGCCCATAAAAACGTTTAAGCATTTTTTTAACTTAAAAACGATTGCCAATGGACAAAATTTTTTTTAAAGAAAGAAGGGCGCCACATTTGCTTGTGAGATTGTCAACAGTGTACAGTAGCTCAAAATCCCTTTCCCAGGAAAACATCCGTACAAAAACAGTTTAATTTATAGAAGAACAGTCCCCGTCGGCTCCTCCATCAACCACACTATTGCTGAAATAACTGGATTAATAACAACAGTTTCACATATCGATCAAATAATAAAGTATTATACATAGTTTAACAAACTGAATGTCACTTTGAGAAATCGTGGTCCCGCTACAAAAGTACACCAAATTGTTCCATGAGATCTCTTCCACATTCCCGTCAACAGCAAATGTGAGTGTTA